ATCTTAAAAGCAGCATGAGAAAAGCAGTTAGTTACCTACAAGGGAGCCCCCATAAGACTGTTGGCCGATTTCTCAAAAGAAATTTTGCAGGCCAGAGGGAGTGGCAAGAAATATTCAAAGTGATGAAAAACAAGGACCTACAACCAAGATTACTCTATCCTGCAAAGCTATCATTGAGAATTGATGGACATATACAGAGTTTCCCAGACAAGAAAAAGCTAAAGGAGTTCACCACCACCAAACCAGTATTATATGAAATGTTGAAGGGTCTTCTTGAAGAAGATCAAACATGAACAATAAAATAGAAATAAATACATTCCTATCAACAGTTGAATCTACAAATAAAATGAGCAAGCAGAACAGAAACCGACTCAGATACAGAGAACTTTTTGTTGGTTGCCAGATGGAAGGTGGTTTGGGGGATGGGTGAAAAAGGTGAAGGGATTAAGAAGTACAAATTGTTAGACTGAGGAACCTCTAAGGGAAAGGGGAAGAGGGGGCGGGAAGAGATAAACCAAAGAATTTATATGCATAATCAATGGACACAGACAATAGTGTGGGGAAGGCAACAGAAGGGTGGAGTGGGGAGGAGGGGGTCAATGGAGGCAAAAATAAGGGACATCTGTAATGAAGATAAGTTAAAAAAAAAAGATGAATTATTTTCCTAAGCAAATTCATGAAAAGGCTTCTTGTGTAAACAGAATTGAACAGAGCTATGTTTTCTTGGTACCAGTGTTGGGTTTGAGACCCCTCAGCAATGGTCTCAGGTTAACACGAAGGTCAGCCGCCACTTGTCATGTTCCCATGAACCTTTGTGGTGTGGTTGGTCTCAGGAATTCATTAGGGTGAGACCAGCAGTGTTCATCAGGCCTACACCAAGCAGGGCTTGGCCATGTGAACAAAAAGGGGCCCCATAGTAAACCTGACAAGTTCATGGGAGGCTGCGTGGTGGGTTTATAAACTCAGAGACCTAAAGTAAGCACATAGTATGGTCTGAAATAAAAACCTTTTAGCTAAAAGCTGTTCATGGCAGGTAGTCATATCCTAGGGCAGTGTTTTTCCCTAACAAAGATCAGTTTCACCTTAACTGAGCCCATCTGTTGTCTTTTTGCATCTAGGATAACATACCGATAAACACATTTGGAATGACAAAGTAATTTCCTTTTTCAGACCCCTCAAAGCACAACCTATGCACCAGAGCAGAGACCACAAATCCCCTTATTGTTATTGTTATATTAATTGTTGACTTAACTATCCTGTACCCACCTATGTAAAAGAAGGATGAGTGTGTTCATTTTACTTTTTATTCAATCTCAGAGATTTCCCCACTTTGCTTTCTCCCGCTTCCCTAACTTATCACCAATGATTTCATGCACCACCCTTACATCTTCCCCTTTGATTCCGATGTATAAAATAAGGTGCAAAACTGTAATTTTTCTTGAGCGTTTTCTCACACTGTTGAGGTTTTGCTTTCCAGCAGTTGTCAGTTTGGCCCAAATAAACTCATAAAAATTCTTACAGCTTTGGATGTTTCTTACTTTGGCAACATGTGAAAGGAAGACTCTGCACAGGAACAGTGGCATTGGTCTAGAGTGCATGAAGGAAAAAAAAAAAAAAATGCTGGCCATAGAGCCACACAACCCAGTTTTTCCCAGAATGTCCCAAACATCCTGGAAAGGCTTCTGCACTGGGGATCCTGACTGTACTGAGTAGCACAAGCTCAGCTGGGTGGGGCCACCAGGAGTCAGGAGGGTGGAACTAATGGTGCTCCCCTGATGGGGCTAGTGGGTCTCCTGTTGGGGGTCGGGACAAGCAGGCAACCCTGCTGCTACTGCTGGGGGGAGAGGAGGGCAGGGCAGGGTGCTCTGGGCCTGTGCTGCTACCTGCTGGTCAGGGAATGGGGGGTTCCAGGTTAACAAGGGCCTGGGCTTCTGTGGTCACAGGGCTGGGCTCCCCTGGCCTGTAATGGGTGGGGAGACAGCTCTGTCTCTGATTTTCCTTGGGTTTGTCCTCAAGCTCACTTTAAGAGAATCTAAACCATAGGCTTAGGCAGCAGACTCCTCCACTCGGCATGAGCTCTGGAAAATTGGGGCTTGTGCAGGCCCCCAAGGCCAATGCAGATTGGAAGAGAGTGTTTGTCCCAGGAAAGATGGCATCTGTGGGTGGTATGGGAGAGGGACTCAGCACAGGGATGACCCCAGTGTTCATCCCCCAACTCACTTTCTGGAGCTATACTGCCCAGTCTGTTCTCGAAAGCCTCTAGTTTGCTCTGACCCCCACTCCCTCTGGGGGATCCCAGGATGAGTAGCCATGGAGATCCTTTGCAATGGTCTGTCAAGAGAGCACCTGGGTCTCTGGCAGTTCTCTCTCCCTGGTGGATAGAATCTCTGCTGAGCTCCACTGCCAGATGTTATGTGAGCACCTCCTGTCAGCCTTGTTGCTTTGGGCTAGTGAGCCCTGCATGGGGCGAAAGCCAGTCAGGGATGGGGAATCTTCTTTCTGCCAGGGCCATTTGGATATCTATAACATCATTCACGGGCCATACAAAATCACCAGCTTAAAAATAGTCTGCTGTATTTGGTCAGGCTAATCTGGTGAGGTGTGTGATATCAACTTGTATTGATTTTGGGAGTCTTCTATGCCCACAGGCCGGATGTTCCCCATCCTGTGGGAGGAAATACTCAGCTGCACATGTGGATGCAGGGCTTTAAATTGGTTTTTAAGCCTTCAACCTTGTCCTCCATGATCAAACTGTTCTAGAATGCCTTAGTCTGAAGAATGCTTTTTGTAAGACTTTAATGGTGGTCATCTAGATCCATAAAGATTGATAAATTATTTTTCCATTTTGGACCAATTTGTTCATAAAGTTCTGTCCTGATGTGCAGGTTTCAAGAGGGCCTTCAGATTCCTTTGGTTTGATTTACCAATTTTTTATAATATTTATGTAATTTTTACATTCTTCTCATTATTACTGATTATGTCAGTCGTAGTGTGCTTAGGTTTAATAAAAATGAAATTTTTTTTTTTTTGTCATGACAAAGAATTGAATGTTCACATATAAGAGCTATGGGAGGAATAGGGCAATAGTATCCTGAGGAAAGAGACAAAAGAATGAGAAAGCCTGACCGGTGTGGCTCAGTGGTTGAGTGTTGACCCATGCACCAAGAGGTCACCAGTTTGATTCCTGGTGAGGGCACATGCCCAGGTTGTGAGCCAAATCCCCAGTGGGGAGCATGCAGGGGGCAGCCAATCGATGTTCTCTCTCACTGATGTTTCTATCTCTCTCTCCCTCTAAAAACCAATAAAGAAAAAAAATGAGACAGACATACTAATCTAGTATGGTTATATGAAATAACTGTCATATCAAATTGTGTTCAACAAATATTGAATTTCACACGTATCTGTCAGTAGATAAGTGATACTACGTCTTATTCTGAGAGAAATACATATACACATTTAGAGAGAATGAAAATTCATAAGTCCTTTTAAGAGTACAGGTTCTGCCCTGGCCACTTTGGCTCAGCGGTTGAGCATCAGCCTGCGGACCAGAGAGTCCTGGATTTGGTTCCCGCTAGGGGCACATACCATCCACACAAAAAAAGAGTACAGGTTCCAACTGTGACTGGTTTGGCTCTGTGGTTGGAGTGTCAGCTTGTGGACCAAAGAGTCACAGGTTTGATTCCCAGTCAAGGGCACATGCCTGAGTTGCAGGTTTGATTCCTGGCCCTAGTCGGGGTCATGCGGGAGGCAACCAATCAATGTGTTTTTCTCACATCGATATTTCTCTCTCTCTTTCTCCCTCTCTTCCATTTTACCTAAAAATTAATGGAAAAATATTATTGGTGAGAATTAACAACAACAAAAAAGAGTACAGGTTCTATATTACCTTAATCTACAATTGAGACCTTACATTCATTATTAAAGGCTGAATATGAGAGTGAAAGCAATCAGGTGAATATTTTTAAAGGCCGTGAGAAAGAGGTAATTTAGTTTGTGAAATCCAACATTTTCATAAATAGCTCAATTTTATAATAGAAAGCAGGTAGTTGTAGTTGTTTTCTTCCTTCCTTCCTTCCTTCCTTCCTTCCTTCCTTCCTTCCTTCCTTCCTTCCTTCCTTCCTTCCTTCCTTCCTTCCTTCCTTCCTTCCTTTCTTTCTTTTCCTCACCCGAGGACATTTTTTTCCATTTTTTGTACAGACAGAGTGGGAGGGAGAGAGAGGAAGAGAGAGAGAGAGAAACATCGATGTGAAAGGGACACATCGAGTGGCTGCCACCCTCACGACCAACCAGGGCCGGGGACAAACTGCAACCAAGGTACATGCCCTTAGCGGGAACCGAACCCCGGTCTCTCCGGACCGCAGGCGGGCGCTCTAGCCGCTGAGCCAAACCGGCCAGGGCTAAATTTCTAATTGAACAAACATTCCACTGGGAGATGAGTTAAACTGAATGAAGGCAAATGACTTGCCATGTCTTTAGGTAACAAATGATGCTGAGGCTGGGTGTACAGTAAAAGCCAGGGAGCGTTACTATCTCCCAAAATAAAATGGAAGGGTGAATCTTTCAGTGATTGAGATCCCTTAGCAAAAGCTAAAGCTACAAAATTCTACACCAAGATGTAGTTAAAATATTCTGAGTGTCTACAAAATAATATGAATACTATGAGTAGACTTCTTAATGTTTTGTGTCCACATTCAATATGTAAAACACTGTTAAACTCAATAATTTTTTGGTATTGCTTGTGAATTAGAGCAGTAAAATTCAATATAAACCTATATAGTTTGTTATTTTTAAAAGTATTTTCCAAGTTTTTTCTCTTTGGGATGAAGTATTTCTAGTTTAAACAGGTAGTGAATCACTTGGAAATAAATTTTGATCTGAGAAGCTAAATTGTGAAAATTCATTTTGTCACAGGAGGAGGGGATTCTTACAACTTTATTTTGCTGGACTAACTGGAAGGAATCCCATCTATAAAGCATCTCAGCTTCAGGCCGTAGAAACAACTACTCTCCTTTTTTCTTCTTTCCTGGTTTAGCAAACTTCTGACAACAAAACAGACAACATTTCATGATGACAAACATAGCAGTTGCCACACAGGCCAGCAGGAACCCAATCACATCCAGAGAGTGGTACTGGAACCAGGTGAGGTCATGAGAGGCTGGCCGCAGGTGTTTGGCTCCTTTGTGGCGCATGACATACTCGATCCAGAAGACTGCTCGATCTAGAGGCTTCATTGGCTGGTCATGCTGAATTCTTGATAATCTCATAGCATTCTCCTTATATCTAAAGGAGAAACACAAGGATACCAACACTGAAAGTTAATTTTCTTAACCAATTCAAACCATAAAGGGTTTTTGTCAAGCAAATGATTTAAAATACATACCTTAGAATCAGAAGTAGTAGTATATTTTTAGAAAGTTTGACTTCTAAATTAAAAACTTCTGATTGAAAATATTTTAAACAGTGAAGGTGAAAGATAAAGTGGGATTTAATTGTTTTTTTTTAGTAGAGGAAGTGTTAGGAGCCATTTTATAGGCTATATGTTGGGTGGTGGAAATGCATATTTAGGATAATGCTCTAGACGTTTTTAAAGAGGAATTGTATGATGGCAGGGGAAACGTTTCCTCACAAGTCTTTGCACTTCTGTGCTTCTCTTTATAACTCTATTTTTAACCCTGTAGCCAAAATAATTTTCTTGAAACCCATCAGAATATGACACTCATCTGCTCAAAATTTCTGTCTGGCATCCCATCAGATTTAGAATAAAATCTAAATCTGTTCTTTGCCCTATAGGACCTTCCATGGACAGACTTCTGGCTACCCCTTCTGTCATTTTTTTCCATGTACACTCAATTGTAGTCACAATGATCTAGCTGTTCATCGAAGCTGCCAAATGTGTTCTCATGTCAGCATCTTTGCACTTACTGCCCCCTTTGTCCCTCTCCTGGAGCAGTTTTCCCTGCAGCACACCAAGGCTGCTTCTATCTCTTGCTGACATTGGCTTAGCGTCACATCTCAGAGGGGCTTTTCCTGGCCACACCATGATAGCATTTCTTTTATGTCTTTAGTTTTTTTTTTTTTCCATTCCTATTTGATTCTTAGAATTTCTAAATACACTTTATAAAATATACCTTCAATTTATATATGAAATACATAAGAGCATGCATATATTCTTTTTTTTTTTCTTTATTGATTTTAGAGAGAGAGGAAGGGAGAGGGAGAGAGAGATAGAAACATCAATTAGCGAGAACATTGATTGGCCACCATCTGCATGCCTCTCACTGGGGATTGGGCCCACAGCCTGGGCATGTGCCCTGACCGGCAATCAAACCAGCAGCCTCTTGGTGCATGGGTTGATGCTCAACCACTGGACCATATTGGCTGGGCAAGAGCATGCATATATTCTAAGTGATCAGCTCAAAATTAGCAATAAAATGATCATGAAATGAACATACCAATATACCCACTATCGACATAAGCACCTCACTTCTGGACTATTTTACTACTCCTTTCTCCAATTTACCTACTCTCCTGATCTTCAGTATTATTGAGAAAGGTCTTTAAAAATGTCCTATTATGGAGTACCCTGGGGAAGGTTTTTCTGTCCATTTGGAGGATTAAGTCAGCTTGGCTGCAGTTTCCTAGTGTGTGTGAATGAGCCTATTTACCAGTGAACTAGATCCCTGCTACCTGCTTCAGCTTCCCAGATAGATGAGAACAAGTATTTGCAAATTCTGATTTACAAAATGGAGATAAGCAATTCATCAGATGCAGAGTTCAGAAAACAGGTTAAAGATTGCTCAAGGAACTTGGTGAGACATTCAAGGGACTTAGTGAGACCTTCAAGGAACTTAAGGAGACCTTCAAGGAACTTAGTGAGAACATCAACAACATCAAAAAGGACCAGTCAGAAATAAAGGAGGCACTAGCTGAAATAAAGAATAATTTACAGGGAATCAATAATAGAGTAGGTAAAGCCAAAAAGCAAACCATCGATTGGGAATATAAGGAAGAAAAAAACCCAATCAGAACAACAAAAAGAAAAAAGAATCCAAAAAATGAGGATAGTGTAAGGAGCCTCTGGGATCACTTCAAGCGTGCCAATGTTCGCATCATAGGGGTGCCAGAAGGAGAAGAGAAGTAATTGAAAACCTATTTGAAACAATAATGACAGAAAACTTTCCTAACTTGGTGAAGGAAACAGATATATAAGTCCAGGAAGCACAGAGAGTCCCAAACAAGATGAACCCAAAGAGGTCCACACCAAGACAAAATCATCATCAAAATGCCAAAGGTTAAAGACAAAGAAAAAATCTTAAAAGCAGCAAGAGAAGAGCAATTTGTTACCTACAAAGGAGCTCCCATAAGACTGTCAGCTGATTTCTCAAAAGAAACTTTGCAGGCCAGAAAGGAGTGGCAAGAGATATTCAAGGTGATAAAAAGCAATGACCTACAACCAAGATTACTCTATAGGGCAAAACTATCATTTAGAATCGATGGACATATCAAGAGTTTTCCAGACAAGAGAAAGCTAAAGGAGTTTATCACCACCAAACCAGTATTATATGAAATGCTGAAGGGTCTTCTTGAAGGAGAAGAACAAAAATATGAACAATAAAATGCCAATTAATACATATCTATCAACAATCTAATCTACAATCAAAATGAGCAAGCAGAACAGAAACAGACTCATAGATACAGAGAACTTTTTGTTGTTTGCCAGATGGGCAGGAGTTGGGAGGATGGGTAAAAAAGATGAAAGAATTAAGAAGTACAAATTTGTTGTTAGACTGATAAATCTCAAAAGGAAGGGGGGAGGAAGGGCACAATGAGATAAACCAAAGACTTTCTATGCTTATATACATAACCAATGGACATCGACAATAGTGTTGGAGAAGGCAGAAGTGGGGCAGGATTGGGGAGGAGGGGGCTCAATGGGGAAAAAAAGGAGGACATCTGTAATACATTCAAGAATAAAGATAAGTAAAAAAAACAAAAAAAATGTCCTATTATGATTATGTATTTCTACATTTTTTTCTTTTTGTTTAATTTTACTTTGTGTATATGGTCAATTTATTAGTAGGTGTTACTAGTGAATAATTTGTATTGTTTTGAGAGATTAGCCTATTTATCATCTTAAAATATTTATCTTAATTTTTAGCAGTGCGTCTTGTCTAACTGTATCTCATATTAGTATAGCTATAACATCTCTCTATGCTTAATGTTGAAATAAATCCTTTCTTATCTTGTACTTACAATTTTGTATACTGCTATTTAAACATATCTTTTATTTATATTTCACTCATATACACTTTATTCAGAGGTCTTATTAATTTTCTAGAATTCTGCAGAACTGTGTCATAAATGTTGCCTTCAGAAACAAGTATCCCGCCCTCCTAGATCTCTATGGTGTAAGTAGCACTGTACCCCAACCATGAATTATTTCAAGATTAACTCAAATAGAAATTAATACCCAGCCTTGTGAAATGTTCATGTAGAAATGTTTCTGATGGCTAAAAATAGCCTTACCTTTGGGTTTGTTTATCTTTCTTGACAAAGCCAAAAATTTAATTCAGTTATGAAAAAGAAACAGCATTGGAATTGATTTGATATGAAAAAAACCCTTCAGCCTTCTAAAATAATTTTAATAACTCTGACCAGTTTTCTCAGTGGTTAGAGCATTGGTCTGCGGACCAAAGGGTTGCAGGTTTGATATCCTGACAAGGGTATGTACCTTGGTTGTGGGTTAGATCCCAGGCCCTGGTTGGGGTCATGCGGGAGGCAACCAATCGATATGTCTCTCTGACATTGATGTTTCTTTCTCTCTCTCTCTCTCTCTCTCTCTCTCTCTCTCTCTCTCTCTCTTCTTCCCTACCTTCCAATCTATCTAAAAATCAATGGGAAAATATACTCAGGTGAGAATTAACAACAAAACAATTAAATAAATACATTAAATGATTTTAATAATCAAAGTGGTTTGGGATAATTAAAATTTTAATTGAAACTAGTAACACTCTCAAACACTATTATATTTGCAAACTTACTTTTCTAAGACCAGAAGACATTTTCTCTATTCTCTTACTTTTTTTCTTTTACTTATCTCTGTGTCATTCTAAAAATTAATTCAGATTCCCTGACAGTTGCCTATATAATTGCCTGGAATTACAGCACAGATGTAGCAGAAATAGTGTACATGTGTTAAATTACATGGTAATTTATTTTCTTCCTCTGGTATGTATTTGGTCCCCTCAACCATCCTAGCTTCTTCTAGCTACTGAAAGTCACATCCTGGTCCCAGCAAAAGTGCTCCAAACCTTATATTTTCAGAGCCATGATGAAACAGATCTAATGATGAAATCACACCAACTTTATTTCTCCATGAAAGAAATAAAAACCTGTGTACCTCCATAATTTGAAACCCTTGGGGGATCTAAGAAATGTAAGGTTTGGAGTTACAAGATAAAAAAGATAATTATGAAATACTTCCAACTGAAGTCATTTAAGTACCAAATCGGATTTTAAGTCCTATTCTACTGTTCTTGGCAGCTTTAATGACCAAGGTAAAGTTCTTTTCTGTCTACCCAATCAATATTCTGGCTGGATACAGGATTCATAAGGTCTAAAAAGAATAAACAATTCCAAAGTGTTCATTTCATATTTGGGAAAGAGCTCTGCTATGAACAGAAAGATTGAGCCAATTTTAGTATAAAAATATTAGGACTTATTATCAATTAGTTGACCACACAGATGAGCTAAAGACACTCTACCCAACATTACTGACATGTTGGAATGTCATGGAAAATTGACATACAAATTATCCTGGAGCTTAAAAAGACTGTGACATGGTGAGATCTGGTCATTGTCTTCTGCCATCAAGAGGATAAAGCCTTGGAGGGCCATTGTAAAGATTGTTCTCAATGTAGATATTCTCATCTGCTTATGGGAGCACACTGCAGTTGCATTTTGCAAAGTTTAATCCTTAGGGTGAAAGTTTGCTTATTTGGAACACCTTTCTTCTCATGCATAATATTTTTTTTGGAATTAGAGCAGCCAAAGTAATAAGCAATTTTAGGGCAGTAATGGAAATTTCAATGTATAATGCCTCATTGGTGATCATCCATGGATTTTATTTCAGACATGTGTAAGTTTCATTGTATTGCCAACCACTGTCTGATAGCTGTGTCATAGTGCTATTCTCATCTGCTGGGCCAGTTCAATGATGAGCTGGTCGTATTTCTTTCCCGTGGTATGATAGGCTGGGTTTCTGTTATCGGCATTGGAGA